TTGGCGTAGGATAAATACATAGAAATCTCCAACAAGAAAGTTTTGTAAAGCTTCTCGTCGTAAAGTGTTCACAAAGCATTTCCAATAAATACAACTCACAAAAGCTTTTTCCTATAACAATATTTCAAAAAACTTCTCGACGCGAAACGACTTGCAAAACTTTTCGTAAATCTTTCAACCATATAGGAACTCATGAGACTTTTCAACACAATGCAAGTATAGAGATTTTCTGATATTAGATAAATCATAAAAACCTTTAAGTCATAAAACGATTCACAAGATGCCTTAACAAATTCTTATTCTCTATGTTGCATGCCACCAAATATACAAGAGAGCACAAGGAAATCTCACCATTTCATTTCAGTCTAACTTAACCTAAATGCGAATAAAAGGAGAATGATTTTGAAGACATTTCAGCTTCCCGACCTCCAATAAAATGCTACAACAATATAATTGACTAAACATTTTGCCAAAGCTCAAGAGAATAACCCAAAACCCCAATGTTTCCTTGAACTATTTCTATAAAATAAAATTCATATTTGAAACATAAAAATGATAAACTCTCCAACAACATCGATATTGTGCATCGTCAAATGTTTCAAGAGAGCTTTCATTCCAATTTGGAAGCTGAATGCGAGTAAGAGACGAGACATTTTGATAAGAGCTCATTTCAACTCAAAAAAAAAAGTACAACATGAAACTTCACAAACACCTTTCACAAATGCATGCATATTTCTAACATACACAAATTTACTTCTTCAAATTACACACGTAACATCTTCTAAATCATACACATGTGAGAATGAGAATTAAAATAACCTTTATAATGAACAATCAACAAGAAACACCTTCCAAGTTTAAACTCAATGCTTTATACTAAAAGATGCAATTATAAGCGATAATTTAATGCCAATTTGATTCTCTTCCAAAGTGTTTAAGAGATCTTTTAACATAAGGCACGCAAGTCTTACATCAAATTAAATTTGATTCTCAAATAAAACTTTTCACATGTAAAGCAATTCATGAAACTTTCCCACACAAAACCTCAATGAGTAAAAGAATTTTAATATTCAAAAGTTTACATAAGCATCCCATCACCAACTATAATCTTATAACGTTAAATTGATCTCCAACCCACTCATCATATGATATCAAATATGCTTCCGAACCACTCATGAAGCAATAATGTATCGATAAAAATAAATAAATGTCGGGAGAAGCAATTTTTTTTTTAAAATCAAATTTCTCTCAAATGAAACATCACATCCTTAATTCTTTATATAGGCTCAATTTACACACACACACACACAAACATATATATATATATATATATCTCAAAAAGAGGCATAAAAGACAATTCACCATAGAAAAAATTATATAAATAAAAATTAATTTTCAAAAGACATGAGTGCAGATCTGTAGGATAAAGTTTAAATTTTATTGTATGCTTTGTATTGAACTTAACTAGCAATTATAAATCTTGAACTCAACTAACAACTATAAATCACGCCTTATGGAGCGAAGGAAAGACTCATGAGATTTCATGACTCTCTATAATATTTTAACATGAATTGATTGCAACAAATATCACTAATTTATTTGTAGTTTCATGCAAATAATTTGCAATTCATTCATTAAAGCTAAGGTAGGCATTATGCAATACCATAAGGAATGAATGAGATAGAAAGAAGAAGAAAAATTTTCCAAGTAATCTCGATAATATTCTACAAAAGAAACATTAGATTAGAACAACGACAAAATCAGATTTTATAATCTCATTCCAGTCATCTTGAGAACTAAAATTGATTCATTAATCTTAAGAAAGAAGAAGAATAATGGCAACTAATTTTGAATCAACTCGATTTAAGAAATAATGCAAGATATTATCACGTTCAAATATATATGACAGAAAATCAAATGTAGACCTCTTTCATTTTTTTAGAGAAAATAAATAAATGCTTTGATTAATTTTTATTCATATATTAGAGCTCTTCCAAACCATGCCTTATAAAACCCCGATTCAATGTCAACTTCAGCATATAGGTGGCGACTAATTTAAAAGAAAATATAATACATGTGGGTTTAAAGGTCATGAGTCTTGGTAATAATCTATCTAACACATACGATTTTCCATTCAAGATAATGTAAAATCCTGACACAACCAAATAATCTAGAAGATGATATTATATCTCATATTAGTATTTTACATCAGACCTTTTTTTTGCTCATGCAAAACTACAACGAATGCATGTGAAGAAATGTGTGAGCACAATTCTTTACGTGGTGATAAATCCAATGTATAACAGGCACTAGTATAACTTTAAATGGACATTTCGGGTAAGGAAATCCATTCAGTATTTAATTAAAATGTCATACAAAGAATTAACTTCAGCTCTATACCTGTATGTCAATGCCGAAGAGAGTCATGCCCGGGAGAGTTGCAAGCATCCGCTGCTCCGCCTTCTCGATCCCACCCCTACACATCGAATTAGGTTATGTCGTGCTGCTTCCCGCTAATCAATGACTGCCTTCCTTCTAAAACTAGGGGATCACGCGACTCTGCTAACTGACAACGGCAAACTGAGATTTCTGATTAAACCAGGGTTGTAGATCATACTTCTTGATTTGGAAAGAAACTTAAATGCATTAGAAAGTTGATTACGGTTCAATTAGAATTAAAATGGGTCTATTGGGCTGAAATCAAATCTACCTCGAGTTCAATCTGGCTTAATTCGGGTTAGTTCGGATTCGACCCAAGTTGATCAAATTAACAAAATTAAACTCGAATAAGTCATCGACTTGAACCAAATCAAACTCGACACGGCTAAAATAAACGAATCTAACTTAATCGAATGTGATCGGGTCAAATTTCACCCAATTTCGAGTCGATTCAAGCTTGTTTGAATTTTCATCAAATCGATTCTATTGGAATCGAATTTGAGGCAACTCGATCAGACCTAGATCGTTGTCGAACTGAATTAAATTAGACTCGAAGAGACTCAACTAACTTGATCGAACAAGCTTGAGGAAAAATCAAGATAAAAACGAGGTCAACACCTACAAGCAGGCCTCCTCCATATCCCACTGGCCACCGGAACATCACTGCCCCAGCAACCGGAAAATGTGCTATTTTCCTGCACCCACTGCCCCTCCAGATTTCCCAAACCGCCGGTCTCACCTGCTCCACTTGAGCCCCATCAATTAGCCATTATCACTTGCCTTTTGTGGATTAATATTAATTTGGAAAAGATTTAGATTCAAATTCAAATTATTTTTCCTTTTGATTATGATAACTTGATGACACCTCTTTGCATTTTTTCTTATCCTTGTAGCGGTTTAAATGCATGTAGTGACCAAATTCTTTCAATTTTGCCATTTAACTTTTCTAAAAATTGGCGCCACCATATAAATTAGAGTATTATTTGATTTGCTTTTGTTCCCAAAAAGTGAAAGAAAAATTGCAGAAAAATGTGTTGATGTGATATTGCTTGGTTACATCAGTAGTTAGAATGATCTTTTTTAATCATCGGAAAGCTGACCTGCCAAGAAATCGAAATTCTCAGTACCTGCTTAAATGTTTCCTATGGCACAATGCATCCACGTTGTTATCAAATAGCTATATTTTGAAGTTTGATAAATGGTGAATGCTTATCGTACACATGTGTGGATTGCATGAGGTTCAACTTTCGGGCATTTTAGTTTACCAATAAAATGTAACAAAAATTAAGCTTTATTTATTTGTTTTTTCTTTGAATTGATTGCAAAAGGGTGTACCCTAGTTTATGTTTTTTGCTGATGATATTCTTCTTGTTGATAAAACTAAAGTTGAAGGTAAATTTGAATTATGGAGGTCAACTTTAGAGTTTAAAGGTTTTTGTTTGAGTAGGTCTAAAACTGAATACATGGAGTGTAATTTTAATAGTAATAGATTTAGTGGGGGGATTGTGACTTTGTTCGATCAAGTCATTAATAAGAGTGCACATTTTAGATATCTTGGGTCTATTATTCAAAGTGATGGTGAAATAGATAGAGATATTATTAGTATAATTCAAGTTGGATGGTTGAAGTGGAGAAATGCATCGAACTTGTTGTGTGATAAAAAAGTACCCCTCAAACTTAAGGAAAAATTTTATAAGATGGTGGTGAGACCTGAAATGCTTTATGGTGCAGAATATTTGTCCTTAAAAGAGAAACATAAATTTAAGTGTTGCAGAGATGAGGATGGTCAGGTAGATGACGATGCTCAAGTGGATAAGTGGCTTTACTCTTAGAGTTAGAATACGAAATGAGCATATACGTGAAAAATGTTGGAGTAACTCCAGTGACATATAAGATTAGAGAGAGTCGCCTTAGATGGTTTGGTCATATAAAATGTCGGCCTTCTGTTGACCCAGCTAGAGTTAGACCTAAAAAGACTTGGTTATAAAATATTAGAAATTATAATTCTTTATTAGATTTAAATGAGAAATTTTCTCTTTATAGGATACAATATAGAAAAAAATTCATGTAGCCAACCCCACTTAGTGGGATAAAGGTCTGATGTTTTTCTTTGAATTAATGCCGAGGTTACTGTTGCATTCAAAAATAAAATCAAGTCTAAGCAATATGTTGTTTTAATTTTTCACACTTTTGTTAAAATGGACTGCAATTGAATAAAACTGAATAAAGTGAGCTCAAACAATAGGGGAATTCTTCTTTGCAGGAAAATTGCCAGCTGCACTGATCTTTATGAATACCGTTAACAAAGCGTTTTGAGCTATACGCATGAGAATGTATCTTGGAAACAGTTTTAGAGCTTTTGAAATTTACTGAATGCAATTCTAGCTTGTATTTAATTATACGTATACCCACTTAATTTTTTTTCCACAAAAGAAGAGATGTAGCCAAATATAAAAATTATATTTTGTTTCTTCGACATTGCTCAGATGTTGCTGTATGTAATAGGTGACTAGAGTTATTTTTAATATTAATTAAAGATTTAAGGCCTTTATTTTTTTCAGCGTTTCTATCAGTCCCTTTTTTTAAGATCGAAGCATCCAGATGCTCAGCTCCCCCAACTCGATGCAAGCCTTTTGAGGATAACTGGACCTGATTCCGATATTCTTCCTGAGCTGAATTCTGAAGTTGATAATTTCAGAAAGCAAATTGAGCTGAGGGATAATCCAAAGGTTGAATTTTTTAGCATCTATATTATTGAAACCCAAGGAATTAATTTGAATACGGTATATAAGGTTTGAAGGAACTTTTTTTTTTTCGCAGAAAAGGAGGTCTACTAAACGTGCATTATTAGAAAAACCATCGGGCTCAAATGAGGAAGCTGCCGCTGTTGTTCAAGCAATTGACTATCATAATGCGGGTCCTTCTGCAGTTAAGGTCGAAAAAATTGGGTCTTCCAATCCCCTTAAAGATTTTGAAGAAATGATGGCACGCAGAGATGGATCAAAATGGGTTGAAAAAGCAATCAAAGAAATGCAAGACCATATTTATGGCCTTCTAGAAAATTCTTATAAAGGAGACAACTATCTAAATGCAACCGAATGTTTGATAGCTCTTCGCAACAGTTGCATTCGGGAGCAGGTAACCAATTTTGATCTATTATGAACATTATGGATTGGAAATATGATAATATCAGTCGAATGATTGGAGTTCTATTTATTTGCTACTATGGTCTAAATAGTAAGAATGTAAGTCTGGTCAGTTGAAGTTAAATATGAAATAGCAAGATCTTCTGCATAATTAGAACATTTTGAGACTTTATATGCTGAAGTTCAAAAAGAACAGGTATTCAAATGCAACTTATCTTCACTTCCATTTTGAGAATCTTTTCTTTTTAGCTTGAAGATGTCACTGTCTTCAATATGCGAGCATATTGCTGTGTTATTTTGAAGGAAATACATTTTTTAGTTGTTTTAAATGTGCCTGTTCTCTCCATGGTAGTCATTTATGAGGGGCCCTTGAGAGTCCACTTTACTACATGCCTGCAATTTTCGTGCTTCTAGCAAGTAATATCTGTGATTCTTTTTGCAGGAACCAAAGAAGTTCAATGATTTCCTGCATTATCTATGTGAAAATCAGAAGACGCTGGATCTCCGTGATTTCTTTGAGCTTCTTTCATCCAAAAATATCACTTTAATCACTAAAACTGAAGCTGCAGACAGGTATGTTATGAGCCCATTTGGTAGATAATCACCATTTATTGCTATTCACCATTTATTACGTAAGTTCTATTGCTCAAGTGGTTGGGGATTTCACTCTCTTCTTTTGGAAAAAAATATTATTTGCGGAAGCCGAATTTTGTCTGGATACCTAAGCCCGTGTTTCGGTACCATTCGGTACCTACCGGGGCTCAGTATTGCTGACGTGGTTCATTCTGATTGGTATCTGGATGTAGATCTACATTCGGCATCCTCACAGAATAATTTCTCATTCTTTTGACTCTTTTGCCCAGTATTTCAAAAAAAAAAAAAATCATCATTTGTTTGTGTGAAAAAAAGACCTTTGCATTTACTGGTTTTTTTTTGGTCTAATATCTATGCCTAATTTCCTGTTTTATTGATATCTGCCAAAATTCTCATTTTCTTAAAGCATTTTTTCATCAACAATCAACCAAATAGGCGACAAGCTGAATCTCATCTTCATATTTTGTTCTCTAATTAGGGCTTCTGATTGTTTTGCCTCATTCTTAAACAGTGACGTGAAGATGGAAGATGCCAAACTTTTGCCCCTAAAAAATGAGATAATTTCTCAAGAGTAAGGAAATCTTATACGCTGAGTGCTCCTCGCTAACGGTTGATGCTTTATTATTGACAGAAACTGTAGGTGGGGATTCTTGTAATTAGGCGGCTCTCCATGTGATAAATTTTGAATTGTAATATGTAATTTTAACAGTAGTCTGTTCCTGCGTCTCGTTTCAAGGCGCATTAAGCAGTCACTCAGCTTTGTTTTGTTTGAATGAAATTAGAAAGTGCCTCTATGGTTTGCAAGCCCGCATATGGAAAAAACGAAATATATCTTCGGTAGATGTCTTCTTCGGACTAAACTTTATAATTCTTGGAAATTCAACTTTTTTGCTTGGCAGATGAAAATGCATCCCATTTGAGTGCACTGTTACGGATTTTGATTTGAGGTTGGATCTTATCAGATGAAATCATTTTCAATTCAAAAATGTAAATCTATAAGAGAGTACAAAACCATTTGATATTTTACCAATCACACTTGAATCAAAATTGTACTAGAGCCAAATTGGGTCGGGTTGTGTCATTAGGATGTTTGGGGTGAAAATTATATCAGACTGGTCCGTATGGACCGGCTCACGTAATTGAGGCATACCTAGAAGAGCCACACGCTTTGTCCCGTTGGCAACATGAATTGGGAAAGTTTTTTCGAGGAATTTAGGAGGGAAATTTCAAAATAGTCTTTCTAGATATTTCCTTTTGAATCTTATGTATTAAGTAGTAGTGTGTTTTGATAGGGTTAGGACATTTTGAATTTGGCCGTAATTAGATTGTTCTTAGGGTGTTTGGGCTCTAGCTGGTGGCTAGAGATTTGTGAGAGCCGGATCTTTCGTTCCAATTGAAGATTCACTTTTATATTGTCTTTTTTTTTTCATAAAACTTTCAATAAAAAAAGTGTTAGTGTGTTTTATTTTGATTTTTTGAAATTGCTGAAATTAGATTTCAGCCAAGGCTTTTCCTAAATGTCTGTAAGTGTTTTTATCAAATTGTTGCTCAATTATTATCGTTTACTTATAAAATTAGTCAGATCGGGCCGGTCCTCAGGCCGCACTCAGATCCAATCACAATAAGTGATGTCCTATTATATTAGTGAAATAAAATAGAAATATTTAAGCAACTTGTTTAGTTTATTATAAAAGATAATATGTTTTTGAATTACTTAGCAAATTCATCACAATATAGATATGATGAAACACATTATCAAAGAAATGTGTCTCAAAATGAAGTGCGGCAATAGCAATATTTGAGATTACCAAAGAGTTCTTATATTATTAATCATGATTTGTTCAAAATATATATCTTGATTAGTTCCAATCATTCAGCAGTGGTTGCTTGAATATCATTAAAGTTTTAGCACCACTTAATTGCTTCAATATTTGTATTAATGAAGAATATACTCATAAATATCAATCTTAAGACTCATGATATGAATAAGATCATCCAATTTAGATTATCACCTTATGCTTAATGCCTCAAAACTCTATAAGGGAAAGTTTGCTCTCAATAACTATATAATATATTACAAGTTAAATACATTGATGAGAGAATTATTTGAGCAATATATTTCTTATCCTTTTAGCAAAATAATATAAAAAAAATCTCTCTCAAGCCAAATTTCTATTGAATAAATAGGATCTTGATGCCTAATACGCTCTTTAATCTAAATTTTCATTATATTACGCATATAATATAAATAATATAAAAAAAT